CCGCCACCGCCACTACCATTGATAACAACAAGACATGCAACTGCCGACAAAAGAACACATGCCCGCTCGACGGAAACTGCCTGCAACCATCAGTAATCTACCAAGCCTCCGTTACACGCAAAGACAACAACACGACAGAAACGTACATCGGACTCACAGAGAATGACTTCAAAACAAGATACAGAAACCACACCGCATCATTCCGCCACGCTAAACACAGAAACTCTACCGAACTCAGCAAGCACATCTGGACCCTCAAAGACAACAACATCGATCACTTTATTTCCTGGCGCATTCTCTCATCGCACTCACCGTATAACAGCTCAACTAAAAGATGTAACCTCTGCCTCAAAGAAAAATTCCTAATCATCTGCCGGCCCGAACTATCAACACTAAACAAACGTAATGAATTCGTGTCTTCATGCCGCCACAGAAGCAAAGCCCTCCTACGCAACAACTAAACTGTCAATTTCGCGCTGCATAAATTAGACTAGTTAGATCATGCAAATTATATTGTATATAAGCAATGGTAAAGTTTGTTCTCATTAAATCCCCTGATGAGTGGGCGACCACGAAAAAGGCTCGTAGGGATGAACTTGTAGTTTACTTGTCTTTTTCCTCCCACAATATATACTTCGCTCTACTTCTATGTATTGAGCACTGTTCTACGAAAATCAAGTTATATATATATATATATATATATATATAACTGCAGACAGAGCTGTTTCGGCCTTCTGGGCCTCATCGGTGCAGTGCTGATGCTAGGATGGAGGAGAACCGAGACGGTCACCCCAAACGACGCAACGTTTGTGGTATCGTCTAAGCCATGCCACTGACCGTAAATATCGATCTCTATGTAATATGACCTCTATTTTACCTCTGCGAAAACGACGCGAAGTACCTTATTTCAATGGGTCACTATTCAGACTTAACACAACAACATAACAAGAAACTAAGCACACAAAATTAAAAAGCAGGATTGCATCGCGTTGTAGCGTACGAAGTTGCATAATTTTTCATTTCTTTACGGAGGACAACGGCCATCTAGGCGTATTTTGAACTTTTCGATTTTTCGGAGAAAAAAAGCGCGATAGAACTTTTTGCTATAATTTTCGAAAAGGTTCATTAAAAGGGTCCTTTAGAAAAAATAAAATGAATTACGATATTTTGCAACTGTCAGCGGATTCTCGATATTTACGGTCAGTGGCTCTTAACACTCGTTTTCAAAAACGTTTCAGTTATCTTTTCCCATTAAAAAAGTTTCGTTTAGTTTAGTTTAATACATTCGCCACAGTTCAACAAATACAATAACTAATCTACATTGCACAGTACCAAGAAAGAAAAAGTAAAAATGGAGTAGCAGGAGAGAGGAACAGAACTTTCGTCCCAATTGACACCTAACCCCTATTATATAACAGAAAAGTAAAAGGATTCAATAAAAAGGCTAAAAAGAGTTACAAGAAAGGCAAGTTATTTAAGATTATAAAATACTACCCTGGAGGACTGTATGAGTCAAGTTTGGAAAAGTATAGGTTGTTTAATTTAGATTTAAATGTTGGGAGCAAGGTTATACATTTAATTTTGGGTGGAAAAGTATTCCACAGTCCTGCAGACCTATTAAAAAAAATTCTCGAAAGTAGTCCTGTTTTGTGTTTAAATCTTATATTATAATTGTTCGGATCATAGTTGCGGGTTTTGTAACAAGGATTAGAAGTGCACAGATAATCAGGGATATCCGTAATTATCAGACAATGTCTTGATTTGAAAAATAGTAGCAGGTCTGAAATCTCTCTGCGGTGTTCCAAGGGTAGTGAAGTTCAGTTTAATAAGTCTCTAAGTATAAGAAATGTCTTGGGAATAACTCAAAATGAACTTCGTTGCCCTACGTTGGACATCTTCTAACAGCTTACGATTCTTGACTGTGTAAGGTGACCACAGGTTACTGTCATATTCCAGTTTAGGTCTCACGAGGGCACACTAGTACAGGAATTTTCTGATGGTGCCGCTGAGACAGGTCCCGGCATGCTCTTTTGATAAGGCCAAGGGTTTTGTTGGCCTTCGCCAAGGTTTTGACATAATGTAATATAGGGATAGTTTTTCAGTTTTTAGTTTTATTAAGAGGATAACTTTACGTTAGCGAATTGGGTAATATGTTACTTGCACCAATCAGATCGCTGCATGATCTATCGCATCATTGGGGCATGTTTGTACTGATGAAACCATCAGGATATTGTCCCTTATGTAAATCATGTCATGAAATTTGCACAGGGTGCCGCCAAGTTTTGCTATGGAACCAACCCTAAGAACAAAGGCTGATAGTTTCTAAAGAAACTGTTTGGGGGCTATGTCGGTGAGGGTAACGAAATAATTTGGATATATCAACAAAGTTGAAATAGTAAATTGGCCACCGTAACGAATACAAAAGCTGACGTTTCGAGCGTTAATTAGCCCTTCGTCGGAGC